TACCAAAAATAAAATTTCGCCAAATCAATTTTATAATTTTTTAAAGAAGAGGGAAGTTATGTGTGCTTCCATTCCAATTTTTACTTTAATTGATTTGGCCATTAGGACTAATACAATTTTCATTATAAAAGCATAGTTTAAATGATATGTATTTAATGTACGTAATAACAAATAACGCAATCACATGAATCGTTTGTAATGATGTTATTCGTTATATATTTGTAAAAAAAATCATCTGATTCAAAAGCAAAATTCGTGAAACCGGAAATACCACGATCGAGTATGTAATTTGGCTCTCTATGATATAATTTGTTTCTTATTCATATAATTATTTTTAGTGAGCGCAGGAAATCAAAATTTGTAATATTGTCGTTGATTCTAATGGCGTTTTAAACTGCATCCAAATATTATGTAAACTTTGAGTTGCTCTACTTTGAAAAAATATTTTGTGATTACTTTCCTCTAAATCCCTTACTTTAAATTTGACGACATATAAAACTTTTTTACCAAGAGTCTAAATTATCATTGTTAATTTCGAGATTTTCACCAATACGTGTTTTCACTTATCAAAAAATTAGTCACAGAGTGGCTGCCAGTTATTTATTTGGTTGATAAAGTAGTGAAATCCATTGGTTGACTTTACATAGAGCGGTGTTCAGTGCACTTTGTTCAAATAATAATTTCTCTTTATTCTAACTTTGGTGCCTGTGGCGAAAAAAAAAATTACTCGCTCTCACCTTCTGATATCTGAAAATTTCCCATATGAGTTGTATTAATTTGCGAATTGCTGCAAAAATGCAACACCATGCACATATCTTTATTTATATTATAATTTTTACTTAGATGTTCTAACGGACATTTGAATTATGTTGACACTGCAGCTAATTAATACATATTTAACCAACTCAAGTTTATTATTTATGATTCGTCTGCATAATACGTGATCAAAATTTTCAGATGATGGAATTCGTATAGAAATATTTTGGTTAAATCAATAAACCGCACCAGTGTCAATGTTAATAAATCGAAGATTTTAAAATCAAAATGGAATGCCACGATTCAAACGATTTAATGTTGGAACAACGATTTTAAAATTAACTAATTAACTAATCATTTATGGTTGGGAAAACAAACATAACCTTATTCAAAATTTACTTTGACAGATTAAATTCTGACTTGTAAGGTTTAATCACAGAAATGAAAAATATTTCCGTTGTCTACCCTAATCTGAAAACTTTTAGATCTCCCTTTAGTAATTAAATAGTAAATTAGAGATTTTTTTAATATTCGACCTTAAATTGAATCTGTAAATTTCACTACTAAAAAGCCGTACTAATCACAGTGTAAAACTTCATTACAACTTGACATTGACTTTATCGTACATTGCTTTAAGGTTTTTACAAATTTTGAATAGATATGCGCTTTATTTGTTTAAATATTTATTAGTTATGTCGGAATAAAAAACACATTTATATTTAAAAAAAGTGTAAACAAAAATATAACGACGATTATTTCTGGTTTTAGCATAAGAAATTGGGTTATGTATTCGAGCTAATCCGTTAACAAAAATTGTAAATAATATGGTCCATCGGGTGAATAGCCACTTTCATTTTTTCTCGACGTTTTATGACTATTAGAGTATGAAACAATAGGTCCCCGTTTCCGTCTGTCTGTCTATCGTCTCTTATCGAGAATTAACGAAAATACTGGTGCGGTTGTTGTCTAATTTTATATGTATTTTAGGAGTATCGTGTAAATGGTAAAACGTTGTAAAAAATTTGTCGAAGTGTCGCCACCAACTATGTGCTGATGTCACCTAAAAATTTTGCATAGTAAATGTTAGGTAAATTTTCTAAAACAACATACTCCTACATTGTGCCTCTTCATTAAGAATGACCAACTACTTTGGAATTTCTTGTTTTTCAAAATCAAATAAGAATTTTTGATGTGATATTGGTTGCATACTTCCAATGCATTGACCTGTGATTTTTTAAATTAAACATAGAGACTATAAGTATGTTCAGAGTTTAAAAAATATCTCGATATATGTATTTATCAATGATACTCTCGAAGATTTTAGGTTGAAATCGGTCTATAATACGCCGCCAGACAAAAAAAACCGGGACACTTGAATATTTATAACTCTACGCTGTCAGTGTTATGACTTTTTTTCCCACATTTTTAGCATAAAGTTATGTTTTCTGTTAATTAACATATATTAATGATGATTGTGAGTTATCACTGCATTAAAAGTTTCTTATACAGGGTGACTTATAAAAGTCAATTTATTTTAATGATTAAATCGGGAACGGTTTAGTCGTTTTCCAAAAATTCAAAGGTTTTAAGGCTTTTAAGGATGCTAAAAACTCTAAGGACTACAAGGATTTCAGGAATTTCAAAAAATTAAAAAAAGCTAGAGAAGTCGGCGATTAAAAAATTCTAAAAGGATTTCAGGGATTCCAAATATTTAAAAATTGGAAAGATGATAAAAATCCTAAAAATCAAAAATAATATTTAAAATTCTAGAGATAGAAGTATCTAAAAATAATGAAAATCTGAAAGCTCTAATGATTGTAGAAATTCTAATGATTCTAGAAACTGCGAATCGTAAAGACACTTACGAGTCTATAAAAAACATCCAACAGAATCTTAAAAATTTTAAAGAACCTGAGTGTACTAATGATCTTAGAAATTGCAGAAATTTTAGGCTTTATAAAACTCCTAGTTATTCCCAAAGTGTTCAAAATTTCCATAGAGAGAGGTTCTGAAGGGTCTAAAGACTCTAAGGACTCTAAGGGGGTCAAAAGCTAAAATTCTGTTTCGAATACTTGAAAGAGAAATTCCAATAAGCCAAAGATTCTAAAACTTGTAAAAATCGCTTGAACTCTTAAAATGCCAAAGAATTTAAAAATTCCAAAGACTAAAGAAAACAAAAGTCTTGAAGAGCTAAAAATCGTAAAGATCAGAAAAATGCTTTCTTTAACTTTTATACATCCTAAAAGCACTGAAAGCCTTGAACACCCTAATTATTGCTTTATAAATCTTGAACACTGTTCCAGAGATCCAACAATTCCAAAGATGTAGACTTTTTAGATCTATAAATTATAGAAAATCTGAAACAATTTAGAAAGTATGGGAAAAATGTGGTAGACCTAGAAATCTTAAAAATATTGGAGAAGGCTGAATTTCAAAATTCTGGTATAACGGGAGCCTGATAATTTTAGAAATTTTGGAAAATGTGGAAATTCTGGTAATTTTGTGTACTTCCAAAAATCTGAAAAATTGGGCTAATTTGGAAAATCTGGACATTTTGGAAATTTTAAAAATTCTGCAAATTACGAACATTCCCAAAAATTAAAAGAAAATAAAAAATATTGAATTTCAAAATTGCAAAAGTTTACACAATCTTAAGATTGCAGATATTCTAAAAATTCCAAATGTTTGAAATATTTAAAAAGTTTTTAACCTTTCAAAAATTCTAAAAGTTTTATTAAAGGTGTCATACATTAAAATTTGCGAATTTTAAAGGCACCAAAGATGCTAAATAAACGAAAGTTTTAGGTTGTAAATAGAAGAAACATCCAACAAAATCTCAAAAATTGTAAAGATCTTGGAAGTATTAATGTTCCTAGAAATTATAAAAATTATAAACTTTCTAAAATTTCTAGTAATTCTGACGTATCCAAAATTCCCAAAGATTGTTAAGACTCTAAGGACTCTGAACACTGAAGATTCTAAATACTCTATAAGGATTCAAACGTTAAAGAGGTTTTTAAAATTCTGTTCCAAATATTTCAAAAATTCCTAAAAATCTAAAAATCTGATGAATGCTTGCTTTAATTTTTATCAATCCTACAAGTATTAGGGGTCTTGAACACCCTAATTACTATCTTATACATCTCAGAGATTTCAAAGATTCCAGAAATTCCAAAAATTTCAAAGATTTAAAGACTCTTGGGGTCTATTAATTTTAGAAAATCTGGAAATATCTAGAAAGTGTGAAAAATCTGGAAGACCTAGAAATCTTGAAAAGTGAATACTAAATTGATATATGTGCCCTTGCTAAAATATTAATGACGTCATAAAAAAAATATGTGGAAAAACTGCCTATAAAGATAAAAAAAAAGAATTCTCAAAGTTAAAGCTGATAATAATTTTTCGAAGTTGTATTTGTTCGACTGTACTTTAGGGGCTATGGAAGTTCTGTCGAAATAAATTTATACCAATTTTTTTATATACTTTCGAGGTACTTAATTTTTGCGTCGTTTGTTAATTATTTAACGAAAAAAAAAACATGAAGGATAATTACATTAATTTAGATTTGGTATTATCAACAATGGCAACAACGATTCAAACACCTTGTATAATTGCACATAAAATTCCGAACAGACTGACTCAATGCTGTTTAGGAACTCTAATGATGACCCAATTGATATTATCAAGAAGTTTATAATATAAAGTTCAGGGAAATTAACTCTCCCGAAATTATGCCTTTTGTAAATCGTATGTTCTGCGAAATTATGGTGAAACTTGGTTTTGAGACTAACTTCAATACGTAATTATTCTATTGATTAAAATTACACAGATGTTGAAAATCCTTAATTGTGGTTATTGAGTTGTATTGGACTTTGTCTGAGGTATTGAATTTATTTATTTATTTTTAATTAACATCACGGTGTTTTCGTATATGTATGCATTCACGAGAAGAAAAGGTTTTAAAAATTTGTTGATATTACTCAACAGCTGTTGAGGGCGGAATGTAAACACCAAAAAGGTATAATTTCTCCATCTCTCTTAGTTAAGTCCATTTAAATTAGATTTAAACATTTTTTTTTTCCGTGAAGGCTTTTTATATTTATGTATTATAGAATTTTTGTTAAATAAGCTGTTTATTGCTACAACCTTTAAGAAAAGAGCTCTCGTTTAAGTTCTCATGGGCCTCCATAAATATTAATTGCTGTATTTTTTACTCTCTTTGATGTTGAAATTTTCCTCTTCAGGGACCCTAAAATGGCGTCATCTCATGCGTCCCTTCGTGATGCGATGGTCACTGGCAGCCCATGACATCTGCTTTACATGCGCGCAGCATTCGTATTTCTTCAGTTTGGGTAAATGCATCCCTGTTATAAGGGGTGCCGGCGTATATCAAGACGCCGTCGACTTCTGCATAGAGCAGTTGGCCAAGGGCTCTTGGGTTCACGTTTTCCCAGAAGGTTAGCCATCATCCATTGACAAATTTCAATAACATTCGTCGCTTTTGTTTTCAGGTAAAGTGAACATGACCAAAGAAAACATGAGACTGAAATGGGGCGTCGGCAGAATGATTTTCGAATCTCCTATCACGCCCATCGTCGTCCCCATATGGCACATCGGCATGGACGATGTCCTTCCGAACGAGCCTCCCTACGTTCTGCGATTGGGCAAGAATCTGACCTTCAACTATGGAAATCCCATAGACCTGTCGGAGATGGTGAGGCAGCTGAAGGATAGGAAAGCCACCGATGTGGAAGCAAGGAAACAAATCACCGATTTTCTGCAAGACCAGTTACTCAAACTGAAAGCGGAGACGGAGGAGTTACATAAGAAGAATTTTAAAGTTAATTTATGATATTTTAGCGATTAGTTAGGGCACATTTTTCTATTTATTCGCCTTTTATCATTTTTAAAATAACGTGTAAATTATTCTTTGTTTTAATGTGGAGAGTAGTTTCGGGTTGCGCATGGTTTTGTTGGTAAAGCAATGTTGAATGCTAGTCATCTAATTTGCCATTAGTTTGTTTTTCTTTGGAGGTTGAACGCGGAGACTGTGAATTAAATTTACGGTACGCAAGGGTATTATTTACAGCATTGTATTTATAGCAATTTTTAATTTGTAGCACGAATGGGGAATGTTTTATCGTGTGTTGTTGATTTATTTAATTTTAGTATGACACGTATCACGACATTTTGTGTAATGCCAAAGTTATCATCACAAAGGTGGCCCTTTAAGCGCAAAGCATTACTTTATTATTGTGATATTTTTTTAGTTGGAGGTTTACAGTCTGGTTGTAGAAACGGGGCCCAAACACAACAATTTTCTATAACCAGACACGTTTCAATGAATTTATAAAATATATTGAATTATACAAGGTAGAACGTAGCGTATAATTGTTTTATAAATTGGGAACTTGCATGAGGCGTTGCTTTTAAAAGGACGCTTATTTTAGAACTACATTAAGGTGGTATCACACAAATCGCTCTTAAATTTAAGACTACATTCTAAAGTATGGTTTTGGAAGCTGAAACTTTTTAAAGATCTCAGCGCGTTTAAATAGCTGTCATATTTAGTTAGTAGTCAGTCCAAAAAGCAATTCTCAACCACGTCAAAAGCTACATAAACGTGATTTTTACAATTCTAAATATAGTTAATTAGATTCAAGTTTGGACGAAGAATAATACGAAGGTTAATAAAGTTAATTACAATTCCGGTTATTGGTAATTAAACTTTTTTAAATTGTATTGAAAAAAGTAATATTCATTAATATATTATAATGGTAAACAACTTAATACAAAATATGAGCTAAAAGGGAGATCTTTATCAATCATAATATCCGTTTTCAGTATTCTCTAATGCAGTACTGATTTAGCTAAGTTTTTCTGTTCTATACTTTTGAAAATAAGTTGATCAAAGAAAGTTTTTTACGAAAAAATACTGCTTTGCTGAACTCCCAGTTTGTACTATTTCAGTTGTACCTCCTAAAAGTTATCTTTTTGTCGCTGTCCTTTTCTCATTTCTTCTTGTATTATTAGTATTTTAAACTTGAGAATATATATTGTTACTTGCATCATTCTAAAAAAAGTTCAATTTTGTCTGTTGACTAAAACACAGGCTGTGTTATTATCTCAGAAGAATTTACTGTTCGCCCTATTTTTACAATAGCGGCTTATTGTACATTCAGAATTGTTGGTTTTTGCATTTTATTAGGTTGTAATTTTTCCGCCAATGCAATTTGGTAAACAACTATTTATTGAGGATGTAAAAATGGGGTCAAGTCTGGAGGCAAATCTACCGGCGTGTCTAAGCGCACATTTGCATCATATTACGATGTAATCCCGTTATAATCTTGCGCATGCACCACTTTATTAACACTTAATTGTGACCATGTAAGGTGTGCCTTGGGGCCCAATACGGTGCTATTCTGCCTAAGCCATATAACAAGCTCTTTTACAATTTTGTTTATAATACTATGTAATTCTTAGTTACGCTGGTGGATCCATCCCATATCCCTTCACAAAACACAATCTTTTAAATTGTGCAAGTTCTCAGTTAGGGTTTTAATATTAAAAGTAGCTTGTAGCGTCTAGGTAGTAGTCATATTGGTTCCTTCAATTGGGACTGTAAAAAAAATAAATGTCTCCCCTATTTTTATTAAACTAGATTTAGTTTTCCCATTTTTATAAGAACAAAGTCGGTAGCGACAAATGAAAATGATTTTGTAAATAATTAGTTAAGATTAGGGCGTTTAATGGTATTTATATGTAATTGTGATTGTTGTGTTGAAATTAGATTTGTTAACAGATTTGTTGTGTACGTTTTTTTGTTTTTCTTTCTAGATCAATTTTTGTAAGTAGGGTTACTTTAACGATGCACTTCCATTCCAAAAATCATCGTTTTCCTGAACAATTAATTTGTTCCTCCTTGTTAGATCATTTTAGAAATATGTACCTAAATATTTTATTGTTTAGATTGTTGTGCTTCTATTTTTTAAATAAATTCAATTTGAACAGATTTTGCGTGCAAATTCCAAATTGTTCGTGTTATCTGGAGCCCACAAATACTTGGAATCGTGTTTGGAATTTGAAGATTTGGAGCATAAATTTAACAAAGTTTCGAATTTTTTTCAAAGAAAATTTAGACTAAATAGTTAAACCGCCCTGGATGATTCCACGAAACGTGTTGCTAACTAAATTGAGATAAATTTGTGGAGGACTGTTTTGACAAACTCGTCATACTTGAAATATATTAAGCGAAAAAAAAACTGCAGGTCATAAATATCGACAAATGGCTTTTGAAAAACAAATCCACATGTGAAACAAACTCCAATACAGTAATGAATAAAACATTTATATCATGGTACCACCTAAAAAATGTTTTAAAGTCATAACAGTTACGGTAATGTGTTTATAAAAAGTTAAGAATTAAGATTGTATTCGAATTGTAAACTTTCAAAAACTTGTAGCTTTTTTTGATCGTATTTTATTGCTTTCTCGCTATTATTCTTTAGAAACCACACTTAAACGGTATTCACGTTCACAAAGGGATGAAAGATGATATATTTGTCACTATCTCGTTCAAGCAACATTGTGCACGTACGTATTCAAAATATCGTAAACAAAAATATTTTAATATCTTACAACCATTTTATTTCTTAAAAAAATATAAAAAAGTGTGTTCGTCTAAATTTAGCTTCTTGAAAGTACCTTCAACTCCAAAAATGTTGTTCACGCTGTCTGATGGACCTACTCTTTTACTTTTGTCGATTGTCTATTTGTCTTCCCATTCAAAAAATGTAGAATTTGTAAAATATTTATCTTTAGCTCTCTCTGTAATCAGGAACAATATATTTCTTTCGTCACACAATTTGCAGACAATGTTTTATACCGTGTAGTTTTGATGTGTCCTCTGTGAAACCACCATAATTCGCAGGTAGGCATTCCAGAGGAATAAACTTCACCAATTCGTCCAATGTATTGTGCAGATACAACTAAAACTAAAAATAATTAAGTGCCTTTTTGTAAACTTAATACTGATAGGTACCACGTCTAAGAGTTCCATTTTCTTCAAGGGTTTTACCAAAGCCAATATTTTATCCATAAATGGTGCAATGTTGATGAAATGTAATCCTTTTAATCGTATAGACATCCCTTCTTGCAGATACTGAAGAAAATTTTTTAGAACTATTGGTCCGGCAAGTATTACTTTAGTCAAATGCGTAAAAACGACTCCTTTCAGATCAGCAACAATCACATGCCCTGTGGACGTGCCTTCTTGGTACAATTGTAACATGCAAGCCATATCTAAGTATTTATCTGTTCTATAAAATTTAAATTGTCCACATCTATATTTATTAATTTCAAGAAAATAATTGTCTAACCCTCTGGTGTTTTTTTAGGAAGACATGTGGCGAGGCTACGAATGAACAGGTAGGAATCAAATCGACATATGCGTGTTTATTATTACCTGTTTTCTATGGTTTTGTTAAAAAGGGGTGATAAAGTATTCTTGTTTCTGAAAATCTCGGGATGGAGCGTTTTCATTGTAAAATACGTGTCGATGGTTTTCTTGGCTGCTTCATTGCTATAGTAACAACTTTGCAGGAACAGGATGGCTTGTAATTCTGCAATAAAGAAATTATTATTATTATTATTAATATTATTATGAAACTGCGATCGGGCAGAGGCCTAAGCCTGTTGTGCCCGCGCATCTTTAATACCTACACTTTGTTATACTGATCGTAGCTACGTTTGAAACTTAAAACCGAGTCACTCAACACAACCTCCGTTTGTAAAGAATTCCACTTACCAAACACCCTGTTAACAATGTACTCGTATATCTGTCTCGCTGTTGTTTTAAAGTTACCTTTAACTAATTTAAAGGAATGACCCCTTGTCCGACCACGCATGTCTAGCTTAGAAAAGGACCATATCACTGAGTTGTTGTTAGTAAGCGCTTGAAATGTTGTAATCATGTCCCCCCTTACCCTTCTATCAGCCAAGGAAGGTAAGTGCATTAGGGCCAGTCTCCCTTCATATGAAGGGCGAACTCTCCCAAACGGCAAACGAGTGGCACGACGCTGTACACCCTCCAATAATGCAATATCGCCTTTCAGAGACGGTGCCCATACATTATTGGCAAATTCTAGAACTGGTCGAACTAACGTTTTATATAAATTGATGAACATTGTAAGGATCCAATTCGAATTTTTAAATTTCAAATGAATTTCGCGCGCGCAAGAAACAGTTGGTGAGAAGAAGAAAAGAAGGTTGGCAACCAACCCCAAAGAAACAGACATGCGCAAATGTTAGGGTGTTTTTGTCTCGTGTAAGATCACCCACTTCCTTTTGATCGCTTGGAGAGAACAGACCACTTCTTTTCGAGCGCTTCGAGCAACAGGTTGTATTTTTGATTGTGAATTATTCTGTGCCTTTTGCTGTTGTTTTTGCGTTTCCAGTGTTGATCTGTTCCATTGGAAAACTTAGCGGCCCCGTTGAGCCATTGGGTGTTCCTGATTTCGCACCGTTCTTACGACGAGGTTTTTGTGTTCCTGTTGGCGGTAAGCCGTGTCGAAATCTTCGCATCTTTGGAGAGGTATGTTTTGAACACCCGTTTCGCGGCGAGTTTCAAGCCCCGACGATGCTTCTGACCTCGTGACACTTCGACGCGTGCGCTTTTTTTTCACTAATCTCGTTTTTTACCTTTCATTTAAAATCCATCGCAGTAGGGCTTTACAGGGAGTGATTTCTAGTTCGGGCCATGCTTTATTTAGCTATATTTGTGAAATCTGTATTTTGGATGGCGGCAAACGAGTTGTTATTTTCACCGTTCTTTGTTCAGGCAGCGGCCATTTTGAAGCGTCCATTTGTTTCTTTTGATCGAGCACATGTTTTAACTGAATCTATTGAACAAAATAACAACATTGTGGGTCATGGGGGGACGTGCCTTTTATTCTTTGGATTTAGCACATCGTTTATACAACGCCACAGGATTCATCGTATTTTTGCATCGCATATTTTCGACGCCTATTATTTGGAATGACGAATTCGTCCAACGCCATTTTGCAACTGCAGTTTGTCTGCCATGTTTGTTTATGTGTTTTGTTTGGGGAAATGTATGTGTAATAATGGCCCACAATGCAGCTAAATAATTTCACGTTTGAATTTTAACCAATAACTTGACTGGACACCGATTAATATTAATCACATGTAAATCTGTTAACTTTACAATCTTTCACCTCATGCAATTTGTCTTTGTCTCACAATTTTAGCTTCAGTAATTTTCTTTGCTGTATAATTTTAATTGAACGTAAATTTCCATGTTCTACAGTTTTGACCTAACATGATATTTTATTTGCACAAGTTTATTTCACACCAGATCTTTGTTTTATAAATCTTTGCTAAGTTTTGATCATGTAAATGTTTTGTTGATGAATGTTTCTCTCATATAAATTATCGGATGTCCAAATTTGATCTCAATTAAGAATTATTTGTTGTTGAATTTTCGTAAGAGTGTGTGGCGAATTTAAATGTGGTTTATTGCTCTTTGTTGAAACTTTAACTCTTGTTCGGTTGTCATTTAAAATTAGAGTCATAGAAATTGAACATCTAAATAGAAATTGAAGTAAATAACACATAACTCGTAGTGTACGTGGGGCGCGCGACTTCTTCTCAAACTGACGGGATCAATCGCGGCACCTGCACAAATCCGCGGGTTTGTATAGCTTCAGGGGGCGATCGCGGGTCTTTAACGCTGTCGACTTGGCCCAATAGTCGAGACCCCACTACGGATCTGCGATCGTAACCGCCTCGTTTCGCAGGGCACGTTCGTAATGGAGAGATGCGTGTGAGCAGGCGTTGGTGTAGATAGAATCACCGTCGTGGGGGAGAACAGTGACGATCAGGAGTCCCAACCTCTACTTGCGCTACAACGCCCCCTCTGGGTATTTTGCTGTGCTCGTAAATGAAATTGCTATATTTTGTTCTATGTTTTGTTCGATCGCCACACTCTCATAATGATTCGGGTTCTGCCATCCAATTTACATATGTGTAGGTCTTGTGTTCGTTCGGTTTTCATATGTGTATGTCTGTCAATTCGCGAGTGTTTTTCTTTCACATATCTTAGGGTGTTTGACATGTAATATGTCGGTGAATAAAACCCCAGGGGGTTTTGGGGAATGAAGACCGATGATGCCTTGGCCCTGCGGACTCGCCAGAAGGGCAAATCGAGCGTCTGTCGTTCTTCGTTTCTTTTTCCTCCTTAGGAAGGCTCCTAATTTTGTCTATTATTTCTTGCGCTCTCGACAGTGTATGCACTTGTATGAAAGAACTTCTTCCCGCCATTTTTCAAAACCACAAAAAAAAAAAAACACACAACGTAGGTTCTCATTTGTTAGACGATCACAGCCAAGGCCAAACTTTGAATTTTTAAATTTTTGCGGGCCTTTCAAACTGTTTCAAGGTCAATTTTTAAGGCGGGAAGTTTGGGTTATCACAACATCGATATTGTAATAGCCCTAAACGTCCGACTAATAAGAAATATAATTCTATTCGCCTTCTTAACTACTTCAGCTATGTGCTCGGACCACAAGAGAGAGGATGACACCATTACACCCAGGTTGCGATAAGAGTCAACCTTGAACAGTTGCGTGCCATTCACATGATAATCATGCTTTGGATTTCGGCTACTATTAGTATATAGCACGACGCATTTTGCGGAGTTAATAGGCAGCAACCATGTACACGACCAATTGGCAACCACATCTAAGTCATTTTGCAGAACAGTGAAATTGCAACTCTTATTATAGATCTTCAGGTCATCCGCATACATTACAAAAGGGGATTTCAAAGAATATTTAATGTCGGAGGTATAGATCACAAAAAGAAGGGGCCCAAGTACCGATCCCTGAGGAACTCCACTCAGCACTCTTCTCTGCGTACTAAATACGTCACCCACTTTAACACTGAACAACCGATTAGAAAGAAAAGCCTCTATCCAGCGAAGAAGGTTTCCACGAACGCCAAAATGGTTGAGTTTAAGTAGAAGATGTCGCAAAGGCACTCGATCGAAGGCCTTCGAGAAGTCCAAGTACAGAACATCAGTTGATTCGCCGGAATCAAGCGTCTTGGTCCAGTCCTCAAGACTACAGAGTAAATTTGTAGTAACAGACCTACCAGGCACAAATCCGTGTTGCTCTGTAGGGAGTATATTACAGTTAATCATAAACTCTATCAACACATCATAAACAATGGATTCAGCGATTTTGACTACGTGAGACGTTAAACTGACAGGTCTATAATTGTCAGCAACAAACTTATCACCCTTTTTATATATGGGTTTCACCACCGCGGACCTCCATTCAAGAGGAAGAGTCCCCGACTCAAATGACTGCTCCATTAGAATCTTTAAAGGTTTTGGCACAAACATTGGCACTTTTTGAGAAGACTCACGGTAATGCTATCTGGTCCAGGAGATTTGGTTATGCGCAGTTTAGATATCTTTTTAGCTATTGCTACCTCAGAGAATTCACCGGAAGTAATAGTTGTGGAATTTGGGGGTGTCTGTACAGTAGGGAGATTAGAATTTGTGTCAACTGTAAAAACTTTAGCAAACGTATCCCCAAACAAATTAGCGACCAATTGACTATCCTCAGTGATACGTCCACTTACGTCTCTTAGGTGAGGGGTCTTCACAGGCCCAACTAAGGAAGACCGCACGTATTTGTAAAAACATTTCACATCTTTTAAAGCAGCAATGCGCTTCTCATAGTTGCATCTGGCATCTCTTATAGTAGCAGAAACTTTGTTTGAAAACACTCTGTGTGCCTTGTAATCACTCTCCCTACCAGTGCGCTTGTAACATCGCCACAGCGCCCTTTTTTTTCTAATAAGTTTGAGAATCTGTTTGGTCCATGGCTTATTTGAAGACTGTTTTCTTACTACGGAAACTGTGTGTTTGGTCACCACAGAATTAAGCTGTTTCTTAAATCTAGTCCAATTGTCTTCTACAGATGGTTCCACAAGAATGGTGGACCAGTCAGTGTTGAACAGATCTCTGTTGACCAGCTCATAATTCGTAATAACCCTACAAGTAGAGGTAATCCTCCTTCGTCTTTCAAAACAGATTTGCACTTCTACCTTTAACACCACGTGATCAGATTTACCAACAGGATCCAGATAATCCAAGTTTGCTAGTAACTTATCGTCCGAGGTGATAATTAGATCGAGGGTTGACGGTGTTTGGTTCGTTCTATAACGGGTCGGTTTAGTAATAATTTGCTCTAGATGACTGTTTATCAGTACATCACGCAACAACTGGGAAGGAGCGTCAAAATTAGCGTTATGATCAAGAGGCCAGGTTATGTCAG